ATACAATAATGAAAACCAGGAAATACTGTGAACAGATTTTGTTCAGATTTTGTCATCTGTCATGTTAATGTCTTTTTTCTCTCCTTTTTCTACATTGAATCAAACAATATATATTCTTTTTTTTTTCTTTTTGTCTTTTTTCGTGTCCGGCAACGGATCGCAATCCTCAGTGTCGCGCCCGTACGGGACCGGGACCGGCAACGGGATCGCAACCCTCGGCACTGCGCCCGCACCTCGCTCAGCCAGTGAGCAGGAACCGGTCTGTATGTGGGATCCGAACCCTCGGCGGGAGCGCCACCGCGCTCCCAAGCAGCGCACTGTAGCAGTGCGCCACCGGGCCGGCCCAAACAATATATATTCTTGAACTAGACTATTTGCTAAAATATTCCATGTGGTATGATAACAGGTGAAATAAACTATTATATTGCATGGGGTAGGGCCTGACTCTGCCATTCACAGGTTGTGGGACCTTCGACAACTGACTTCCCATCTCTGTGCCTCAGTGTTCCCATCTGTGAAATGGGTGTACTAAAACTACCCCCCCCAGTAGGTTGTGATGGTCCAATGAATTATGGCATACAACAGCCCAACTCACAGTAGTCATTGCAGTTGCTATTGTACCCATTTTACAGAGGAGCAGCTAGAGGTCAGACCAACAAAGGTCACCAGTGGTGTTGCTGACTTCCCCAAAGCCAAGTGCCACTGCATGTCTCGGTGACATCCCCTCTTGAGGCATGCCCCAGCTGGGGCCCCAGCCTCTGCAAGCCCTTCCTTTGAGAACCAGGCCACCTTTTCCAAGAGGTTGATGCAGGCTTGCAGGTCAAGTCCAAAGCCAGTGAAGACCCATTGGATGTCCTTCCTCTTGCACTCCTCCTGCTCTAGCATGAACACGTGGTGGTTGAAGAATTGCTGCAGCTTCTCGTTGGTGAAGCTGATGCACAGCTGCTCGAAGCTGTTGAACTGTGGTGATGGGAAGACAGAAAGAGGGGCATCAGCACAGGCCCAGAGAGAGCCTCTCCCAGGACTGAGTGAGAAGCCATAAGCAGAGCAAACATGTGCTCAGGGCCACCAGTATCAGGCGCTGCCCTGAGTACCTTAACACTGCCCACTGAAATGGTCCCAGCAGCCCTGTGATGAGTGGTTCTCCATTACCCTCGCCTGCAGAGGCACAGAGTGGTTTAGCACATGCCTGAGGCCACACAGAGGTGATGATGGGACCCGAAACCCAGAGAGCTAGACTCCAGCCCTGTATGGCAAACAAAAATCATTGTGGAAAGAACTATTTCTTTCCAAGGATGGAAATCACTTGAAATGCTTTATGGATCTGACCCACTGTATGCCTGTGGGCAGTTTTTCCCTCTCTCTGTAGTTTTTCTCTTCCTCATCTGCAGAATGAAGGAGTTTGAGGGTTTTATAAGTCTTTTTGTTTAAAAGGAGTGAAAGGCCACCAGTAATGTGCTGGTAAATCAGCTCTAAAAACAAATCTCTTTAAAAACAAAACAAAACAAAAACCTCTGATTTGTAGTGTTTGCAATTTCCACGGTGTAAATATTCACACTGTGGCCGATTTTAAGCTATCAGTATGATGTCAACTGGCTCACAAAATTCCTGAAATTCCTAAAAATTTAACAATCAACTCTCATGAGCCTGTACAGGCTGGCTTTGACACACTACTCATTCTATTCATTAGGTTCACACCATTATTTATGAGTTGGCACCATAGAAATGAAAATGGAAACTTCTGGAGTCCAAAAGTCAGAGATCCAGTGGCCGACTGAGATTGGCCTGCCCCAGGCCCAAGGTGAGAAACAGCGGAACCAGGATGAAAAGCAGCTTATAAAAGGAGAACAGCCACCCCAAAGAAGAAACCAAACCTGAGGCCACACACACCTGGAAGATCTCAAAGCCGGCGATGTCCAGCACCCCAATGAAGAACTGCCTCTCTAGCTTGGTGCCCAAGGTCTTGTTGATCCTGACCACCAGTCACTTGAACATCTTATCATAGACAGCCTTGCCCAGAGCCCTGATGGAGTTGTTGCACTGTTCCATGTTCTGGCCCTTTTGCACAAACTCATTGCCTACTTTGACCCAAGGCACTTTGACCCAAGGCCTGGTGATACCCTTCTGGAGTTAGCCAGAATTGAGACCCATGAGATGGGCGACTCTGTCAGCCACGGAGTCGGGATGGAAAAACAGGGGAGTGAAGGGAAGATGGTGCCATGTCCAGCAGAAACCCAGCACCATCTATTGTGGCTTGGGGATGGGAGGAAGGGGTGGTGGAGAAGACCCCATTTTGCCAATGAGAAAACAAAGATCTGAGGTGGTATCCACACTTGCTCAAGGTCAAATGGCAAAGCAGGGTATAGAAACCAAAATCACATCTCCGACTCTCTATTGTGCCTCTCCAAGAAGATCGATGTCTGAACATCCAAGGAACGTGCTTGGTTTACAGCCACCACAGAGCCTAAGAATACCTGGCCTGTCTCTGAAATGAACACAAAGCCCCAGAGAGTAGGGAGCTTCCACCGTTGGCTCCCTTGTCCCTGAACAGCCCCAACCCAACACATACCCTCAGTGGCTTCCACTTCAGCTTGCTCCTCCCTGGGCTTCTATTTAAACTTCATGTTTCCAAAGTGCGTGATACCCACAGTCAACTTATAAATGCCAATCTTCTCTTTGGCGGTGAAGTCCAGCACATCAAAGCCTTCCTGCAAAACAACAGGGAGGAGAAAGCCAAGCGACTCCTGGCTTCTCATCCCGTGTGGTGGAAGCCAAGGACTGCCACTGTGGCAGGGTGTAGGCTCTGGAATCAGACACACCCCAATCAGGGAGAGGCCTGTTTTCCTCCAAGGAGCCCAGACCAGGTGCTCTGCAATATAGTCATTTTATTTATTTAACCCCTCTGACTTCTGTTTAGCCATCTGCTAAATGAGATAGTATGTGGTTGTAAGGATAGATTAGAATGATGTGTAAAATGTTTAGTCCAGTGCTTGACACATAGTAAGTGGCCAAATAAGGGGAGGTATTATTATTATTACCATTGTTATTGTTAAGGCATCATACTAGGTCCTGGGAGAGGAGAAGGCAAAAATGAACCAGGAACTGATTCTGCTGCCAAAGAGGAGAGAGGGCCTAGTGCACAAATAAGTCACAAGTGCTCATAAGGGAAGGAGATAGAATACAGTGGGGACTGGGAGGAAAGAGAGAGCCACTTCTAACAGGGCTGGGGAAGAGGAAAAGTTGCATGGGGTAGATGGCCCCTTAAGTCCCTGTGCATTCTAGTCCAACTCTGCAAAGAGCAACTCTGCTTGCTACAACGACCTTGGCATAAATGCAAACTGCAGCCCTGGAAATCTCCAGGGAAGAATCTGGGCTGCTGTTGACAGCTCTGAGTGGGCCCTCATCTCCACCCCCATCCTGGCAGTAGTGCATTCAGGGCCCCAGAGTTGCCATCCTTCGCCAGCCACACCACCCACTCACGTCTGTGATATGCCTCTCCTCCCCATCGTCCATGTTATCCACCACAGTGACTCCTTGGCTCACCCAGTGGTATTCCTTAGTGTTGGGGACCAGTAGCAAACTCTCTGCCAAGAGCAGCAAAGCAGATTAGCAGCTTGGTGATATGTGGTTTTCTT